CTTATTTCCGATAAGCTACCTTTTCACGTAAAATCTGCCTTTGAGCGTTGAAAGTCCAATTTTTGTCAAAGTGCAACAGGGACGGAAACATAAGGAAAATGGCCTTGAACCCGGAGATAGGAACTCAGGAATTTTCTCAGCCCTAGTTTCTCCCCGGACTGGAGGTAATCCAGGTATTTCTATTGGTATTGGACACCTGATGGTGAACACTATGGGGCAATACTGCACAGATGTGCAGCCCAAGCATGAAGATTAGGAAACAGAATTCGTGACGGATTGAAATAACCACTGACATGAAATTCACTCTCTATGTGGCGCAAAGGCGAATTCAAGACGCTGCGATGACATCGCATAGTAAAAGTCCTAGTGAAAGTCTCAAAGTGGTTAAGCTCACTGTTAGCTTTGACAAATCTCTAGATACCCTTTGATCATTAAATTAAAATAGTTGAGGATTTCCTGGGCAAGTGCGCTACCAGTTACGCTACCGGGCACCATTTCATACCAACCCGGTAGCGTAACTGGTAGCGCACTTGCCCGGAAAGCGAGAGGTGCGGGTTCTAGTCCCGCCTGGGGCGAAAGTTTTGTTCACAACCCAGCATTCTTGTGAAACATTCGCAAGGCGAACTGCGGCCAAAAACAGCAGTTAACAAACAAAAACAAGTCAAATTGAGGATTCTCATTAGAATGTGTCTTACTTCTGCTTGGTCTTCCAGATTTGCTGCGATGAAACACTTCAGGGTCGGACGTTCCAAACAAATCAATTGCATTCGCTCATGTGCCAGAAGCACATGCAATAAATGAATAAGTAAATAAAATCGCCATTTTCAAGACCTAAAAGTGGTTCAAAGCTTTAGTTTGTATCTCACTGAAACTAACACAAATTGGATCGTCAAGCGAGCTTCAGGTGTTGAAAACGACGATTTGCTTCGAAACGTCGACCAATAAAGTGTTCCACCATAACAAACCTGGAAGGCGAAACAGAAGCAAGGCACAATCGGAATGCCTGGGTTTCAAGAAGACCGGGCATGGCATATTCTCATTAGGGTTCGAATGAATTTCATGTGAATTCGTTTGTAACTCAATCAAATTATCTAATGATTTTGGTTTTATATCGCAGTTACAATCATGGGAAAGTCCTGTGTCACTTGCACTCTACATCGATCGTGGTTCATCAGGAGCTTTACAATATCTCTTGGACTTGCATCGATGTAATCGAACCATCGCAGAGAAGGTATGTTGGTTTGAAATCATAGCCACACGTTCACATGGAGGCACGACGTTAGATGGACCTTAATTCCTTTATGATATGTACGATTTGAGAAGTCTTGGACACACAAGTGGAAAGAGTGCTGCCACTAGGGTGGCTTAGATAACAAGCTTCGTAGGACAAGGAGGGCTAAGGTGTTCTGCCAAAGAGTGGTCATGGTGGTCACTTGATGTGGGAAGTACGCACGATTCAGATGTCAGCCACTGAGCTTTGTGTGCATAGTGCTGCTTGAAAAACCTAACACTAAAAAGCTGCGAAAGACGCAAATCCGCGCATTTTCTGTCTTTGTGTTATCCTCGGGTGCTTATGTGGGTAGGGGGGATATTCAAGAGAGTGAGACAGTCACAGCACTTGGGACTAAGCCTTAGCGAGGAGCGAGGACTCTAGGAGAGGACGTGAGCAATTTTCTTTCTCCCCCTCCTCTCCTGGGCTTTTCCCAGTGTCATCTCATCTCGCTGTTCTGATGTCCTGTTTTGAATGTTTCCCTGCCCCCAAGGCCATGAGCGCCATCACCCGACTCCCCACGAAAATTATTTCATTAGATTCAGAGCGTTGCTCGCTATAGTTATACCTGAGAGGAAGAGCTCCCATCGAAAATATTAAGCAATTCTTTGCTCTTCTTCTGTATTCTGAAACAAAGCGAATGCTAGACTATTACGCTCAGGTACCCGACAGGAGGCCCGTCGCGCAAAAAAGGCAGAGTCAGCGGACGAGTCGCAGCGCGTACTGTAGTGATTTCGCGTCAAGTTAAATAGAATGTCCATTGTACGTCCTACATCGCACATCACGCGCTGCGACTCGTCCGCTGACTCTGCCTTCTTGCCGCGCGACGGGCCTCCTGTCGGGTACCCAATGCACTCCCTCTTCCGCTTTCCCTTATGCCAATAATTTTGATACCGATTGTCCCTACTTGAGTTACTTTCGTTGAATTCCATTTCTGAACCTTTCATAAAGCTTTCATTTCAGCTCTCCGTTCACGTGGTCTATCAGTTGGCAGCATTTCAAGACAGATGTCAGCCTCTTCAGGTTCTTAAACGACCCATATCCTGCGCCAATTTCACGTCACTATACAGTTCAGTGCCTGAATTTTCAACTGTGATGTCCAATTTAGGTCTTATGTACAGCGCAATTTTCAGAGAAGAATTTCCTGAACACGATGATTCCACCGTTTGGTATCTATCCGATAAATGTTATGCGAAACGTCGCCAGACGTGGAGCACCGTCAAATTTTCATTTGATCAGTGACATTGAAATGGTTTTTAGGTGAGACTTCTCTCATTACCTTTTTCACATAGAACTGTGCTGAACCTTGGAGGATGACCTCACTATAACAGTTCCCCCAAATTAATTCCGAGGAACTCTTTCTTTCCTGAACTCATGTGGGCCCTCATGGCCTCAGGGGAGACATGTAAGACATGGTATTCGAAAATCTCTGGATGGTGACACAAGGACAAAGCCCAAGAGAGGGCAGAAACGCCATGGGAACAAGAGTTGCTCACGTCCTGTCCCAGAATCTCTTCCTTTCTCTACGGCTTAGTCCCAAGTTCTGTGACCGGCTCACTCACTTCAATGTCCCTTCTCGTCGGCATAACTGGGCGCCCTCATTTGATAGCTCTATGGACTTTTCCACTAATCCACGTGCTACTTTCGTGATATTTGCGTGTCGCAAGTACCGTGAAATATGTCTGTGTGAACATTGAGATGCAGCAACCTTTGTTGGACAGATTCACATAACGGATCAGATATCTTGAAGCGCCATGAAGGAAATTAGCTATATCCTTGCTCAGTTTTCAATTTGTAGGCTGCACCCTGAAGCTCACCTACGTAGGATTTCCCATCAATTCGAATTCTGTGCTACGGTGTGTGGGTAATGTAGTGGAAAGCGGCGCCACGTACCACGCGCGCCGTGCCGGCTCCAACAAGGATTGAAGCTTACCTTTATCCCCATGTTTTAGATTAATTGTACTTGACCCGTCTGGATAATGGTACAAACGCTGATTTTTGTTCAGCGGCGAACTCTCCAAGTTTTTGCATGGCCCCAAATCGCATTCAAACGCCCGTCAATAGTGACAACAGAATGATGGCGCATTCCAGGATCAAAGCCAGGCTGTAGCTGACGTGAAACTACCCGTACAATCAGCTCTTGCTCGATAAATAATTATTTTGATCTTAATTTCAGTACCAATTTTGCTCATCAAGCCAGGATTTTAGCAAATGTACATATTCGGCCGAAATCGAAAAAGCTGATTGTGATAAGGTGAGGCTAATTTATGGAGCTATTGTTCAGAAAACTTAAGACGCAAGTCGACTGCACTTGCGTTTCATTTTCTGCTGCTAATTTGTTTTTTCAGAAAACTCAGTTTATTTTTCCACATTTTACCAACGTAAGGGTAGCTAAAGCCTTTCCTTTTCAGAAGATTCGAAATCGAGTCAGGCGTCGAACTGCCACGCAACCACACAGCCCTCAGAGCGCTTATCGACGCTGGACAGTGAGTATCAGAGTAGACTTTCTAGATGTGTTTGAATGCTCTGCTTAGCACCGTTATTACATCGCATTAAAGGCAGTGATGATGGCTGGAGGGTTGGGGGGGGGCGGTGCGGTTTTGGTGACGCCATTTAATGTCGTCGGTGGACTGGACTTTCAATGCGGTAAGGATTGTGGCTCCTTCCACCAACGATGCTCACTGACGCCATCAGAACCGCCCCGCCCTCCACATCGTGATCACTGCCTATCGGGTTTATTTCGAGTGCCAAATGATAATCTTATTTCACCTTTCATTTCAGAGCTCATGAGTACCACCATAAGTTGTTCCCGGTAGGTCACACTATCGAGGCGTTATGGGAATGGTTCAAGCGTTCCAAGGAAAACCCCGAGCCCTTTGTGTGGGAAATCCCTTACAAGTAAGTTGAGTCATGTTTACATCGTTTCGGATTTCTCCGCCAAATGATCTTTCCAAATAATTTTGCACAGAAATCCTATGTGGGAGCCGCAGTTCATCATGAGCGCAGGAGATCCGTTCAGTGAGGAGACTATGCCGACTCGTTTACGGGATCAGCAGGCATTGGTAAGCTGTATGATGTTGTAAAATATGTCGCTGATTTCACATTTTCCTCCCACATATTCCTCCGTGCAGATGTGTCCGTAAGGGGTAACCGACAGAATGCCCGTTGCGCTGGGAGAATGCAGAAAGGCAAACAGGTCAGCGGACGAGTCGCAACGCGTGCTATGTGCTGTAGTACGTCTTCTGGTACATTCAGTTGAGCTTGATTTTGATTCTATCACTGCAGCACAGCGCTGCGACTCGTCCGCTGACACGTCTGCGTCTCTGCCTTCTCGTCGCTCGACGGGCCTCCTGTCGCTCACCCTGCCTGTAAGAGCGCACAAGCCCTTCTAGAACAAGCCACCCATGTGTCAGGAATCTTCACTTTCCAAGAGGGAGGTGGGGGGGGGAAGGCAGGACATGTATGGAAGGCTTCTTCATCTGATTGCTACCGCTGACTGACGCCGCTGAGTAATTTTCCGTCTAGGAACCCCGTATAGGAAATTGGGTCTGTATTTCTATCCGGTAACTGTATGCACAAGTATGGAGTGTTTGATCGTGTTGCTTCCACTGGAAACACATTCTGCGATTGAACAGATATGTGGTGTTATGCCCGAAAATGGAGGTAGTGGTGGTCACTGGTCCATCTGCAAGGAAGGAAAGCAAAAAATGCCAGCAACCTCGGAAAGTACACGCTAATAGTATAGGGAGGGACTGCACCCAACCCCTGCGGCAGCTATTATTATACTGAAGCTCATAGCACTATTTAGACTTACGAGCTGTGTCGTGCCAACTACACCTTCTTGCTGGCATCGCAACTCTTCAATGTTCATCGTGGTGTTAAAAGATCTGCGACATGCTTCGACAAAGCTGTCGTCCAGCACCAAGTCCGATTCAGATACAGGTGAATTTTTTGGCTTATTTATTCTCAAATGAATGCTGTTTTTAGTATGTGTCAAAGTTGAGGCTAAGCTATTGGTTGGGGGCGCACAGTCAGCGACAGAAGCCGCTGGAACACTTGCTGTTGCAAGACATTCCACTGTCTCTGCGATACACTGGTAGCATTAAGAATGATTCCATTGAGAAAGGAGTGAGACTATCAGCGCTACTAATTGAGGCTTTGTACTGCGCTCCCAGCTGCTGTGAATGGATTGGCAGTGGTTCCTCACCCTTTAGTCCAAAACCATGGAGTAGATGCCGCCAAACTGGTGAGAGCGTAGAGACCAGTTACTGTAGAATGTTTACATCACGCGTATTTACATCGAGAACCTGCTGTTTATGCACCAAGGGCGAGAGCTGTGTAGTAGGCAGAGGGAGCCTGGATCGTAGTACTGCGTGCAAGACGAGCCTTCAACCCCTCCGGGGTCGTCTGTTTGGTACCAGACTTGTTTGTAGACCTGTTACATTGGGTGGCCCCGTAAATCAATGTATACGCCAACTCGCATTCCAAGTGCCACTCTGAGTGGGAGTAGAATGCTCCTGGAAAGGTGATACTCAGAGCAGAATGCTTTTCGTTTTAGGTACCCAAGGAAGACCTCAGCTAGTCACTGTATTCTTTAACGTACCCAGATTAGGAAAATCTGTTGAATTTTGTATAATGAATTTCTAATTCATGTTCTTGAACTTTCAGTGCCTTCATCAGGTTCAAACGGCGAATCGACATGGAGTATCCGAAAACACTCAAACGATGTAAAAAGTTTACAATGTAATAAATCACTTTTTGCTATATCATTTTGCATGGATTAAATACTATATAATAACAGATGGAGCCCTCGGTATACTATTCCTGCGTACTGACCCGCGCTCTTATCAGAAATACAATGTAGTACGATAAGTCACATTCCCATTCCCATCAGAGAAGCCCGCTGCCTCTTTACCCAGCTATCGCGGCTATGTATTGCGGCTCATGCGTAAAGACTGAAGCTTATTTTTTCCAACCGATGATTGCGAAAATGTCCATCCCGGAGCAGAACTTACATTGAGCACATTTCAGTCTAGCAAAGAATTTTATAGTAGCGCTCTTCCGGAAGACATTGAGAAGAATCTGCCAATTGTGGAACACGGCTGCACCGGTTCAGTTCAACGAGTCTTTAAGGCATCGTAAACCATTTCGACGTTATCTAAATGCTGGTGGAAAGAGTCCTACTACAGCACTTCGGCACGAAGTTAGCTTTTGAATGTGCGCCGAAGTGAGTTCCACCGTAGGTTACGTAAAGCATCAATAGACCATCAATTTAGCCACATCCACAGCAACGTAACCCACCGAATCTCTCAGAAAGGCTAGCTGTGGAACGGGCGCACATGGAGTGAAAAGTGCAGGTCGGAAGCGATTCCATCTAGTCAAAGCCGCCTACGTAAAGATAGCCGTGGTTTTTCTGCAAGTTATAAATTCTAGCTCACATATTACATATAAACTCAACAACAAAAACTCCAGCAAATGCGCATAGATCCCTGGACAATGAATAGGAACATAGTCCGAGATGGGTATCGAAGGATGAGCCAGTGGCTCATATGGGGTGAGGGGGAGGGTAGGCGGAAGGAATGAAGCGTAGCTGCTACTACAAATATTATGCTGTTCTCCCACTCTTTAATATTCCCATTTTATCAACAAAAAAAGCAATTATAACCAACATCTTTGTTACATAAACACAGATCTCATTAATTACGACCTCGGTCCTACCAGTTCCTACAAGGCGGGTACGCCCCTTGTCGGGTACCCTGTACAAAAGCAGACATTGCAAGCGACTTGAGATCCCAGCACCATTGCCATAACCTTCCAGGAACAACCGTCTGTAAGGTTGACTTGTCCACACCCTTTGTGAAGAGTTTACCTTACCGACGGTGAAGGGTGAACCAATCAGCTGGAACGAACCATGCCAATTTCATTGCTAAGCGCTAATTTTTGGGCTAATTTTCCCATCTATAAAGTTATTACGGCGAATAGTGAATAGCTCATAAAATTGCCATTACTAGTGGAATGACATTACTATGCAGTTTTATGAGCAGAGTTGTCTCGGCCACGATGAGAAATGGCAGCCAAATCTTAGTACATGCTGCCTTGATGATACCAGTCTCAAAGCTTCCCTAAATTGCTGGTCAGGTAGAGTAAAGGCTTCATGATTCTAGATCCCACAATACCTTTGAATCAGAACACCCTGAAAAAAGTGGCGTAAAAGTGGGGTTCACATTGATACCCATGACTTCTGTTTTTACAGGGCTCACAGATGGCAATATTCATAATTTGTAATTTCTATTTCCACAATTGAACTAATAATACACTGGTGTGCAAAACTTAAGGACGAGACAGATGAAGTATCATAACCTTTTGATAGCTTTGTGGACCGTTTAACGGTTCCTGTTAACTGCTTTCTTTAGTGCCCTGTGGCAGCTCTTTGTATGTGTGGTTAGGTTCCATAGAGTCATGTTACGCGCCAGTAACACGTCGTTGGAAAAGCTACGTTCGTCCCTAAGTTTTGCACACCAGTGTATTAATATTTATCTTAATAGTGCTGCAAATATTCCAGAAACGGACGTTAAGGCACGACGGCGGGTCCCCA